GGGTTGGCTTTGACCGAGTAGTAGGGGGTGTGGACGGCGGAGAAATGGGAGAGTACTCTAGGTAGAGAGAGGGCTAAAAAAAAAAAAAAAGGAAAAAGGAAAAACGGGGAAAAAGGAAATAAATATAATGATTAAAGCGGTTTTTGAGAAACGAACTTGAGGGGATCAAGAAAAGGAATCACCCCTCCTTGTACAACGCTCTCTACTTCACCAGAGTTCACCTCATTCCTAAATGTCCGTTTCTCTCTATGATTCACCGACCTCTGCTGAAGATGCACAGGATCCCTTCGTTGCCGCATCCACGCTCTGGTAACATCCTTTGTACGCTCTGGCACGGATAAAGATGTGGCCCAGATGGGGAAATCACTACGGAAAACTACAGGCAAGCACCGTTGCAGGCTCCACCCACGACCTTCTGCAAAACTGCAAATAAATAAAGATGCATAGAGAAAATAATAAACAAGAGAGCATCTCTTTCCAACCAGCCGGACGGGTTTAAGAAACAGCTGTCGCTGGGTTCCGTTAGTCGCTTTTCGGTTGTCCCCCTTGTTTCTTTTTTTGGAACGAAGTCAATATCCACCTAAACGCTCTCAGATAAGCGTGCGCAACAAGCTCTCAGATCAGTACCGTAGCTGATCCATAAAGCAGATATGTACCAAGCTTATAAAATTGAACGGGGCAATGGGTTATAGAGAATTCCAAGGTTCCTGGGAGACAACAGCCCTGCATGGTGGCCATATTGTTACCAAGTTTCGAGCAGATCTTCAAGTGTGCAAACAAATGGGAAATGGGACGAGTAGCAAGGGAGTAAGAAAGGGAGAGCGCAGCGGATATATCGACACGCAAAGGAGTATACTTGTTCATCAAGCCAGTTATATTCGATCTATGTCTCTGTCCTTTTTAATCTATTGTCTATCCTGCGTTCATGGGCAATCAGCAACACCCAAACCAACTCAGATGGGACATGGAGGAACATTGAACGGTTAGGTTGGAGCAGGTCGCCGCAGTGGGTAAAAGAGAGCCTTCGCAAGGGAAGTAGAGTATATACATGTGTTCGTGAAATCGTTGGATACATGTATCTTTAAAAGGCTCCTAAGTTAACTGCCGTTGCTGACCTCCCTTAATCTTTGGACAGAGATGGATGGAGCCGATGGGAACACGGGAGGCAGCACACTGCTGCTTGCCTGCCTGTCTACTCTACAGTCGTGTGTGTGTGCTGTGGCTCTCAGTTCTCAAACGAAACCCCCCACGCATCCCAGGTTAGGCATCCATATGCGGAGCACTGCTGCTGCACAAAGAGAAGACTCAAATCTCTGTAAACTTCATTTCGTCCTCTGCAACCAGCTACATATGAGGAATCCTACACTCGCATTCTCCAGTGACTTTAAGTGGAAACAAGAATATAAGATTGCTGGTTATCAGTTTCAACAAGCAATATGCATGATAGGACAACCGAGAATAAGCGAGAGGATCAATGTTCATTCGTCAGTTTACATGGTGGACTGTGGATTATTGGTCATCATCATCATCATCATCATCATCATCAATATCTATTAGAAAATGTGGACAGACGTTGGGTTTAGTAGTAGGGTGGTTTGGGGTTCAAGAAAAGAAAGCACGCGACTGGACACATTCCACCTTCCTTCCGCCTTCTCTTCCTAGCCTGCTGGGGACGCCCGTTGGTCCCAGGGATCGTAAAGCCGAGAGCCTTGGCTAACCGATAACGATAACCTCCGCGCCTCTACAACGTCCCCACGTATGGCATAATCCCAGGTTCCCGGGTCTCCTCAATTATCGTGTCCCCTCTTTCAACACAGTATTTCTTCTCCCACTCCCCAATTCAAATTTGTATCTTCCTGGTCTTATCTCATACACCCCCCCTCCCCCAAACCAATCCCGGTTGCTTCCATTTTCATATCTTCGTGAAACATGACTTCGTTACTCCGTCGCTCCGTTACGGTGGGAGCTCGCGCTGTCAGAGCTCCTCCTCACAACCAATTGAACTTTCCCCGTAGTGGATACGCTACCCTTTCAACTGCCTCGCCGTACTTCAATAATGAGCCGAGTGGACCATCCGTGACGACTTCAATCCCTGGCCCTGTATCAAAGAAGGCAATTGATGAGCTAGACTCTGTTTTTGATACAAGAAGCTTAAACATGATTTGCGATTATGAGAAGAGTGTGGGGAATTATATCGCGGATTTGGACGGTAATGTGGGGTTTTAAATCTATGGCTAAATACACACGTTTGCTAACCGGCCCTATGGATTCATAGATGTTGTTGGACGTGTCAGTTCTCAATGCATCAAAATGTGCATTTTTGGTTTTGGTTTTTCCCGGTTGGTTGACGTATCGATAGGTACTCCCAGATTGCGTCTATTCCGGTTGGCTACAACAACCCGCACCTCCACGCCACTGCCTCTTCTCCAGAGTCGATCAATTTCATAGTTAATCGCCCAGCGCTCGGTAACTTCCCGCCTGGGAATTGGGCTTCCATCTTGAAAAGTGGAATTCTTTCGGTTGCCCCTAAAGGCTTAAATCAGGTCTTTACTGGTATGGCTGGATCAGATGCCATCGAGACATCGTATAAGGCTGCATTTATGTACAGGCGCCGCATCGAGCGTGGTGAAGGTGTGGATTTTACTTCTCAGGAGATCGAGAGCGCAATGAAGAATCAATCTCCCGGATCCCCAGACCTTGCAATTATGAGCTTTAAGAAAGCATTCCACGGAAGGCTTTTCGGAAGTTTGAGTACTACTAGGAGCAAACCAGTACACAAGCTCGATATTCCCGCGTTCGATTGGCCGCAGGCTTCTTTCCCGGTGTTGAAATACCCGCTAGAAGACAATGTTGAGGCAAACAAGAAGGAGGAACAGCGCTGTCTTGCAGAGGTCGAGGACATCATAAAGACCTGGCGTTGTCCAATCGCGGCAGTTGTTATCGAACCCATCCAATCCGAGGGAGGTGACAACCATGCATCGCCGGTATTCTTTCAGGGTCTCCGGGACATCACCAAGAGACATGGTGTTCTTTTCATTGTTGATGAGGTCCAGACAGGTGTAGGTGCTACGGGTAAGTTCTGGGCCCATGAACATTGGGGACTTGATTCTCCACCTGATATGGTGACTTTCTCCAAGAAGGCACAAACTGCTGGGTACTATTTTGGCAACAGCCTGTTAAGGCCAAATATGCCTTATAGGCAGTTTAACACCTGGATGGGAGATCCGGTTAGAGCGATCCTCTTCCGCGGCATTATTGAAGAGATTCAGAGGTTGGATCTGGTCAAGAATACAGTAAGAAATGTCTTTGAACTCTTATAATTTAAATTAATGGAAATTGATTGAAAATAGGCCGAGACAGGTGCCCACCTCTACTCAGGCCTCAAAGAACTCGCCTCCAGGTACCCAGACAAAATCCAAAATCTTAGAGGAAAGGACCGCGGAACCTTCATCGCCTGGGATACCCCTGGTAGAGATGCTTTCTTGAAAAAGATGAAAACAGTTGGCGTCAATATCGGCGGGTCTGGAGAGTCAGCTGTGAGGCTGAGACCTATGCTGGTCTTCCAAAAGCATCATGGTATGTGGATTGATATACAGTTCGTCAATTTTGACCGAGTGCTGACCTCCATTAACCACAGTCAATATGCTTCTCGAGAGGATTGAACAAGCTTATAAAGCTTAATTTTTGTAGTAATGCTCTAAACCCCCAATGACTGAAGTTATGGTGTGATGATGGAAAGATGTTTCTCGTAGTAGCGTTTGTCATGATAACTCACGTAATTATGGTTTGTTGACTTCAGTTCCTTCTTTTAAGGTACATACGTACTTATACCACCGTTATTTATTGTCTGAACTATTTTAAGTACATGTATTTACATACCCAAGCGCCATCACGATTTGGGCATATTTACTTATTTTCTCCAATGTTTTCACATACTATCACTCGGCAACTCGCATCAAGATTGGTGTAAGAAGCAGAGATTTCCACAAGTATGGCATTACTCTAATTCTAACCTTTTGCTTGTTTTGAGCCTTCTGGCCCCATTGCCACGTCATAGTTATCTCTGCTTTCATCCCATAAGTACGAAGTTCAGTCTAGAAGAAAGCAAAAAAGCACACGCACATATATGCACTAAACATGCGTACATGTACACGCTTACCAGCAATAGAACCAGAAAATGAAAGTAACGGAAACAGGGATTATTTGTATGAGAGAACGGCGCCACTCCATACAAATTACCCTTGCCCTGAGCAACTGCATTTTCTGGTTCTTATGCTGGTAAGCGTGTATGCGTATGTGCGAATTGAGTAGAGTGCCTACTCCGTATGCTATGCATGTACGTTTTAATATGGATAGCGTATTTTCTTTCTCAGTACAGTCGCAACTCGATATGCCGGAACTCAATACACCGGATCCCTTGCTGTCCCGTACGAGATCCTCTGAGAATATTATTTTCCTACTCCAAAATCAATTTGCTATCCCGGATTTTTTGCTATCACGTATGAAATCCTTAGAATCTTGGCAATCCGGCATATCGAGTTGCGACTGTACTCTCGAGTATTAGAACGCTCATATGCTCTACCAGCTAGGTATCTAGAGTCTAGACTCTATGTGCGGTACTCCCACAACCGAGTCATCTGTGGTACCGACGATCATCCAGCCACATAGCGCTGCTGCATACTGTACTGGCCAGGGCATCAAAACCCGCCCTCCACACTCACACCCCAACCCTAAAACGAAACCGTTCTCATCCGTAGTTATTCTCTACACACCACCCCATCATTTAGCTGGTACACACCCCATGCAATCCAAACACCTCCGGTCGGCATTTATTTCAAAACTGTCCGAATCAGAGACGATATATCATCTTTCAATAGATTCTCCTGCGTCTCCCGCAATTGCGTATTGAATCTGCCTTTTGACGGCGCACTGACCTTTAATCTGATAGAGAGTGATATCCTGGATCATGATCACTCATCAGGTGGGTTGGTGACAGGTGCATGCCTGCGTGCGGGAGCTGTAAGCTGTAACTTTGTTGTTGAAATGGGTTAGGGATGGCTTTCTGGGCGCTCCGGCTAAACTCTTGGTTTGTTCGCAGTTGCCCCGCAGCTTGGGATATCTCTCTCCCTCTCCTCTTCTGATATCGACTCATTTTTTTTCGCTTGTGCTTTCTCTCTTTTGAAGCCACCAGAGCAGCACGTACTCCTGGGAAGATTGGTATTGGTTGAGCAAATGGAAGATTATTTCGACTGGACAGACCACCCGGTTCTTTTGTACGGGTGCTCTACGTATGTATGCTGCATGGAACAATCTCTGGGGCATGCACAACTTATCTGATACAGCACAGGATGCTGCTAAACGACCGATGTATTTGATTCGTGATGCAGTATCCATCCAATTGGGAGATGCGATGAAAGAGAAACTTCCTTCCTTCCTTCTCCATCCTCCCCTTTTCTATTCCTCATCACCTCTCCACCTGACCATTTATTAACATTCGATGTGTCATAAAAAGGTGCTATGTGCTGCTTTTCAGATGCAGTAATTACGCGGCATAAGCTCTGGAAGAAAAGTGTTCCGGCTTTGCCATACCGAGGATTTTATGGGTTGGGGGCTTCATGAAACGCTCGTTGATACCAATCGGCCGAGGTTTCATAGATACATGTATATGCATGAAGTATGCATAAACAGACGTCATACAGCCGTACAAAACATGTGCTGTAAGAGAGTTAGGTACGTCCGAGTGATTGTGTATGACTCAATTGTAGGTTATGAGGGGATTGAATCCACTGTTACAACCGGCTACCAACATGTGTGTATGGTATGGTTTGTATTGATCTAAAATCCTGATCTTTACAACTTTGGGAACATTTTTTTTTAAAATCATAGTTTCATTGACTTCTGGTACAAGAATATCGCATGTAGCTGACGCTATGGCGTTGACTTTGGGAACATGTCTTTATCGATACGTTATATCAGGAAGGAAACCTGGGTAATATCCGGAAAAGCTTGAGCGTAAGATGTTTCCCGAAACTACAGGCAGTTAGTTGGATGCAGGTACAAGACAACGATTCAAGGCTGTGCGGTTCCTAACGATGAATATGCCTGCTCCGATCAATACAAGGTCAGCATAGCTCCATACCGATATCCTTAATGTGTCTCAGCAACCATCCACAACGAACAAACCTAGTATATATCACAAAGACACATGTATCTACATTACTAACAAAACCGCTGCGTAACACTAAATATTTTCCCGAGACCCCTGAAAATTTTAAACGCTCGAAGCGCATAACTGGGTCGAGAATGCTGTATCGCGTGACGTGTAATTAATACCTTGTGGTCTGTATTCAGAAGATATATCATATCAACATCTAATTCAACGCACGTACGGTGAGTTACATATTTCGGAGATTTTTTAAAAGATAGAATTCAAAGAGAATCTGGAAATAACGCGCCCGACCCTTCACATAGGCTTTCCCGATAATTGTTCGTCTCTCGATATCCTGTACCTACACATGTGATAATATATAATGCCTATATTTCAAGGTATATCCCCATCATGTCCGTTTTGTATTGTCGGTCTTCTTCGCTGCTAGGTGAAATTTCTTCTTCGGATAAGGACTTGATAACTTGTATCACTTACAGAGCACACCATACATTCTGCATGGCGGGAGCTGTCGCCACTCATACTGTTTACATCTCATAAACGTAATTGTGACTTCCCACCGTACGTCCTGTACTGCAGCAGTTACAAAACCAAAAAAGGGATTGGGGTAATTCAGCGCATATGTGACCTCGCTGTTTTATCTTCAGTAGAAACCCCGTAATCTCCCGATATGAGGCTTGAGTAGAGGAGCTGAACCACCTCAAACTCCGTTGTTTGTTGCTGATGGAAGTTCTATATATATGTAAGTACTTGTATGTATACATATTCTAGAGATACCGATTGGGTTTCATGTATGATATATATTTGAACGGGTGATCGATGATGATTCAAAACTACATGTAGCTGGACACCTGATCTGCCAATGCCCAACAACGATATGAATGAAAGGTAACATCTGGGTCTCCTAGAACTACTCTTCAGAGACCCTTACTCAATCACAAGGTAATCCATGTCCAGGATTGGCACACCAATACAAGAGCGGCTCTGCTGCAGTTTCAATAAGAAACTCTTGGCAGAGCTGATCTACTTCGTTAAGGTTTGCTTGGAGTTGCAGCTTCCTTGCCAGATGGTGGATCTTCGGACAGGAGATCGATTCCCATGCGTAACTCCATATCCTTCAAATAAATCTATACTTAGACACGTACATGTTTAGTAACCAGACATACGAGAAATATGGTTTGCTTTTATGTACTCCATCAAAAATGACATAAAATTGAAAGCATATAGACGTGTGTTAAAGCATATCCAAGATATGAGACTACCAGAGCTCTTTAATTATAATCATTGACCTCCCGTATACATATCTACACTCCAAAGTACATAATGCAGATGTAGCATATGCGGTAATTCCGATGCCCATCCCGCCAGATGACATGCTATTCAACGATAAGAGTTCTTACTTGATCACATTAAGCTACATATCTGCTTTGCTATGACTAAAAGAAAACGTATCTGCTCGTACACGGTCTATCCGAATGCACCGCCCACCCCATAGATTTCTTCGATACTCTGCTCTACCTAATCTAGGTAGTATAAGGAGGGGTTGCGCGGCCATGTTCTTGTTATTCTCGGTGGAGTACCTACTTGAGAAACTACGTCCATTTCCCAAAAGTCGTGGTCCGTGGAGTGACATTGAAGATGGGGACGTTGATACCTACGGCCGGCCTGCATATGCATACATGTATCTTCGGCAAAACTGCATCACTTTATCTGGGATGGGCAGACCCAGAAACAACAAAATCCTACATCTCTCCCCTGTCTGCAGATTGCAGACCAGATAAGAATTGTTAACAGAAGAAAGATTAGTATGAGATAGGGTATGTAGTTGCGCACGGTAAACGGTTGCAGTAACTAAACCGCCACAAGTAGCATCTATTATCTATCTGTGCTCTACATGAATTTAGCCATCGAGATACTGATACCGCAAGGAGAATCTACGTCCAAGCGAGGGTCGTAGTTGTGGAATTGCGATGTATCAGATCATCGGTATCATAATCTACTCCAGAGGAGGGTGATCCGGGAGGGGTCCAAATTCTCGTTTAAATGCTGCGAGAATTTAAAGATTTGGTTAGTATCGATACGCCAGATCAAATGCTTGCAGAACCTCACTAAATCGATTTCCATTTGCACTAAACATACAGGTGTGAGAAGCTGTGTGCGGGGAGGTATATATGCACAAGCAATTAATAAACAACGCAACTGCGCCTCGGACAACATCCCGGGGTAAAATAACGCAAATAGAAATTGCCTTTCAATCTGATGCTTTTACCTGCGGGAGGAAGTGGAGGAGTTCGAAACAATGATATGGAAGTTTAAGGGGGAATCCTCTGAGGGTTGAGCAGACATATAATATTATGTTATGAGGGTTAGGGCTAAGATGTATGGGTGAGGCTTAATTAAATGTTTTGTTGAGATACAGAGTTTAAGACCAATTGCAACTGATACCAATACTACATATCTATAAATCTGTGCCAGCTTGATGATAATTACTTGTACATAGACATATTGTATCATGATCAGTGAACACATCAAGTCTCATATCGCCATCACTAATAACTACATACATGTATACTTAATTAATACTTGGGTTCCTAGGAGCGTACATGTGGTATCCAATGTCTGAAAACGGAAACTACATGAGTATATATCAGAACATATCACATCTCAGACTGGGTAGATACTATCATGTGACCTCTGAAACGCTTGGCGGCGAGAGCTGCCCTCGGTGGATCATGCTCCGTGTTCAGATTGAGGCGACGACATCTGGTTCCTGGCATCATCATCTGCAGCTCGGATTTTGTATTTCGGCGCATTTACTATTATTTCAAGAACCAACAGCTTACTGGTATAGCTGTTATCCTCGTACAAGCGAACATACCCCTGATTTGATTTAGGGAAAGCATAAGACAGTACAGTGGAACTTGCTCAGACGTCGAAGAACTAATGGCGTCAACAGAGGATGGAAACAGGGAAGGGAAGAACGGGGAGGGGCAGCCATCGGGAGACTCTAATGGCAATTTGCGAAAGTCTTTGGATAATGAGACGTCACCGCAGACGAGCGCTTTCCAGTCGGCTGTAGCAGCCTGGAGAAGTAAGTCTCTTATTTGATTGATGGAAGGTCGACTCTGACAGGACTGGGTGGACAGACATTGATCTCTCGACACTCCAAAAGTCTCTCGACACCACAGCAACTGACATAGTAAGTAGTCAGAAAGAAAACTTGGTTGAGCGTAAGGAGCTGGCACAAAAGACGAAGGAGTATAAAAAGCTTGGTGATGAGGGTAAGAAAGAAGAGTGGAAAGGTCTGCTGAAATGTAAGTGAATTAAATAATCTCACTATAATTTAATTAATACAAAGTATTAATACGTTTACAGCGTATCAGACATTCATTGACCATCTAACAACTTCAAAAAAGGCCACTGAAAATGCCTTCCTTAATCTCTACCAATCCTTGTCTGAGGCGCCGGATCCGTATCCTCTTTTAGAGGCAACAATTGATTCACTCCTATCACTCTCCGATATGCAGGCATTAACGAGGGACAATACCTCGTTGAACTCCACAGTCACACGTCTCTCAAGCCAGATAGCAAACCTGGAAGCATCTATGGCTTCCAAAAACAAAGAGATCGAAAGGTTAAAGCATGAGAAAGATGAGGATGTGAAGAAGGCTGAGGATGTCTGGCGAGGTGTCATAGATGAAAAGACTAGGAATTGGGAAGGAAAAGAAAAGGCTCTCTTGGACAAGTTAGAGCATCAGGAAGGGGTTTTAAAGGAAATAAAGGCCAGCTATGAGGTGTCTCAACGGATGGGACCTCGGAGTGCCGGCGGTGCTGAAGAAGATGGTTTGGCTAAAGAAAGGATGGCGGAATTTGAAATTCTTTCTCGTGACTTAGAGAGGACTACTTTAAGATTAGCGGAAGTGGAGGGACGGAATGAACAGCTAAGGCTTGAGCTGGCAAATGCCCAAAGCCAGGAAGGACATGCAACTACTAGCAACGATAATGCCGAGAATGAAGAAGACCCATTGATAGCTAGGCTACAAGGGGAAAATGCCACCTTATTGAGGAGGTTTGAAAACATCAACGTTCAGGCAGGAAATGAAAAGAAGGAATGGGAAAGAAAAATAAGGGGGCTTGAGAGAACTATTGATGGCTTGAAAAAGGATAAAGACATTCTAAAAGAGAAGATGGCGAAGTGGGGTGATTATGAAGAGGTGCGGAGAGAACTGGAAATATTAAAGGTTTGTGATCTAATTTACTTGCTGATTATTGATGATTCCAACGGCCAAAAGTCATGGAAATTATCATTCAAAAACTGGATGCTGATTCTTGATAGTCAATCGAATTTTCAACGGGAGACGATGAAGAAGATGGTGATGATTTCTTAGATTTCTCCAAGACTGGGACTGCAGATGGAGATGGGAGTGGAGGGAGGGTAAAGGGCGGAAAGGAAACATTGGAGCAAATGTTGCTTGCAAGAAATAAGAAACTTGGAAGCGACCTAACAGTCTTGCGTGTTTCCCATGACGAACTCTCAAGCCGCCTACAAAACCTTCAACAGACGTTAGATTCTACAACTTCTGAGCTTGTTTCGGCTCGCTCACTAAATGAAAAGCTGGAAAACGATCTTCTGAAATTTCAACAAGAAACTCAGCATTCATCAGCTCTTTCTGTAGCTGGAACATACGTTTCGCGATACCCATCAGCCCAATCAATGGCACATGGGTCTTCGCGACGAATTTCTCCAACATCCTCCATAATTTCAGGTGTTATACCTAACTCCGCATCGCACGTCTCATTAGCAGGCCTTCGTGCCGGTGAAAATGAAAGCTATGGTAGCGGAAGCAGCATCCTACCAATGGTTACAGCCCAGCGTGATAGATTCAAGCAGAAGAACCAACAGCTTGAAGACGATCTCTCCCGGGCCCATGGAACAATCTCAAACTTACGCCAGGAGGTGGCATCTTTGCAGAAAGACAACCTCCAACTTTATGAGAAGACTCGATATATCTCCTCGTATCCACGTCAGCCAATTACCGTCGGTGCTGCTGGCTCGAGTTCGGGATTTGGAGCAAACCCAAATGCAGCATCAACGTTGCGCTCATCCGACAACTCTGGGGGGCTTTCAATCGATCGGTACAGACAGGCTTACGAGGCCAACATATCACCGTTTGAAGCATTTAGGGGACGAGAGTCGGCAAGGGCGTTCCACCGCATGGGAGTGGTGGAACGCATCATATACTCGCTGACCAGAGTTGTACTTGCGAATAGAACAAGTAGAAATTTGTTTGCGGGGTACTGTGTTTTATTGCACCTACTCATGTTTTCAATGCTTTATTATGCTGGGACGGCAGAGGTGGAAAAACATCTTACCGGAATGGCTGGAGATAGTATCGCAACAAATATGGCAGCGGCCGCGGGTGAAGCAGGTGGATTAGATCACGGGGATTGGCATCCTGAAGGCTTTGATGGGAAGTAAGGGATGTTGGGGTTTCTAATTTACTGCGAAATATCTAAAACACTAGAAGAAAGTTATTTTAATACGGGTTGCGGCATGGGCAATTAAAGGATCACGCATGAAAATAGCAGCTTACCATGACCTGTAATTGCCCCAAAGCTACATAGCGAGTGAGACAGCATGATTCTCTTTACCGGTCTGTGCCTTGCCAAGACGGAATGGTCATCCAGGGCCAGGGCCAGGGCCCCTTCCATTTGTTTAATTTTAGTGCCCCAACGAAAAGTAGGACCGGGATGTGAACCCCACAGCCAGTGACGCAGTTACCAGTACTATGCAGCTATCTCCGAGATCCAGTTCCTGTAAATTCCTCTCTTTCCTCTACGCTACCACTTCATACAACCTCAACACCATCGTCACCTGACAACCCAATGCCCTATCTGCTGTAAAGTAGATATCTATCACTTACTGTTTAAGTCAAGAAGAGAAGAAACAAGAAGTGTATCGGCTGTGTGATTTCATCAGTCTCGTGTTCGCTGGCCTAGCTTTCGCCACATGCCATCCCACTTTTCACAACTGTCCCACCAATAGCTAGAACAGAGGTCCTAAGTCAGGTTTCGTCTACGTTACCCCTCACAGGGACATAAATATACATTTATCGAATCTTTTCTTCCCATCTCTTCTTCTTTCGTGCGAATAGACGAGAAAATATAGATATCATGGCATCATCTAACAAACACGAAGCCCTACCAGATGGTGACACAAGCTTTATCAACCCAGATGGTAAGTGTTATATCCCGCCACCAGACCAGGAATCCTGAAGGGGCCAGAGGTCATTTTCTTAACAATATTTTTCATAACTACAGACCTCGCTGCCTTTGCTCGAGCTGTCCATGCCCCGGATGTCCCCGAAGACGATTTTATCACCGCTTTGAATGACTGGCGCCCTGTTCACCAACGCATCCGACGGAAGAAGACATCTGTAAAAAAACGACCAAGAAGAGGTAAAGACGAGACAAGGGAGGGGTTCGGTTATCAGGTTTTCAAATGGCCATTGTTGGGAGTCGTATTTACTTGGATTGGAATATTATCGTTAAGAGCCCCCTTCCGAATTACCGGTAGTGTCAGATTGGAGGGGGTTTACTGACTTAAGCGGCTCTTAGGATTCTTTATGTCTTGACTAGGTTCTATATCTCACAGTATGAGTATTGGGTTACCTGGCGCGGGCGCCGCGAGAAACTACGGAAGAAGCTGCGGTCAACCAGTAACTACGAGGACTGGAAAATTGCTGCAAAGGAGCTGGATACGTATCTTGGTGCCGATTCTTGGAAATCTGATGAAGTATTTGCGTATTATGACTATAAGACCATCAAGAAAGCCACTACAGACATGTCTAGACTTCGACAGCGGGCCGAGGATGAGGCCCAGAGGGGGTTAGCAGAGACGAATGGGGAAAGAGATGGGAGGAGCATATCAGTTGTCGATGAACTGAGAAATCTCGTAGAACTCTGCGTCAAGAGTAATTTTGGTGGTATTGAGAGCTTCAGGTTATATTCACAAACTTACTATGGGACAAAGGATAGAGTTCAAGAGTATGTTGAGGAGGGTATGGTAATCCTAGACCGCTTAAAATATATATGCAACTAACATTATGTATAGTTGAAAAAAGTTTGAAGTTTCTTTTAGAAACAAGTTCTTTGGGGATGGATGATAAGAGATTGTTGTTTAAGCACTTATCCAGTAATTATGGCCGTACAGCCTTGTGTTTATCTGGAGGTGCTTCTTTTGCGTATGTCTATCCTCACTCTCCATGTAATAATTTCAGACGTACATACTCACTCGAAATCCAGCTACTACCATTTCGGGGTTGTCAAAGCTCACCTAGACGCCGATCTCTTACCCACAGTTATCACTGGTACTTCCGGCGGCGCATTGGTGGCTGCATTAGTATGCACAAGAACAGACGAGGAACTTAAAAAATTGCTAGTGCCAGCATTAGCAAACAAAATTACAGCTTGCCATGATGATACATTGACATGGTTCAAGCGCTGGTGGAAAACCGGTGCACGGTTTGACAGTGTTGACTGGGCAGAGAGATGTTGCTGGTTCACAAGAGGCAGTATGACTTTCAAAGAGGCGTACGAGCGTACAGGGAGGATACTCAATATCTCTTGCATCCCATCCGATCCGCATTCGCCATCATTACTTCTTAATTACCTCACTGCCCCTGATTGCTGTATATTCTCCGCTGTCCTAGCCTCAGCTGCAGTCCCAGGAATACTGAATCCTGTTGTCCTGATGACTAAAACCAAGTCTGGTACCATCGCACCATTCTCATTTGGTCATAAATGGAAAGACGGCTCTCTTCGCACAGATATCCCGCTCAAGGCGCTGAATTCTCACTTTAATGTAAACTTCAGCGTCGTGAGCCAAGTAAACCCTCATGTCTCTGTATTCTTTTTTTCTTCTCGTGGATCTGTGGGTCGACCTGTCACACACCGCAGAGGAAAAGGATGGAGAGGAGGTTTTCTTGGTAGTGCGATGGAACAATACCTCAAATTAGACATGGCAAAATGGCTCAAAGTGCTCCGTCATCTCGAACTACTGCCTAGGCCGCTGAGTCAAGATTGGAGTAGTGTATTCCTGCAGAAATTCGATGGGAATATTACCATCTGGCCAAAGACAAGCATCACTCAGCTCCGTTACATCTTGACGGACCCAACTGAGGAGCGATTGGAGAATATGCTGGCTGTCGGACAAGGATGTACGTTTCCGAAACTAAAATTTGTTTCAAATAGGCTGCGGATAGAGAGGTTAGTGGATAAGGGACGGCAGATGACACGCAACAAGAACGCCGAACCAGAGCAGCATATATTCTCAGCTGAGTTGCATAACAATATGAATGGTAGCGAACCTCGGAGGCAAAGCTTTCAAGGTGGCTCTTTGCAATTACAAAGAAGAACACTTTCAGAAGGCGGGGAAGCCACTCAACACGCTGAAAGTCCAACTGCGCGGTTATCGTCGTGGTTTTCTAAATGGAACGGCAGTACTGCCTCTTCCTCCGAAGATGGCCAACGTGATCTTGGGCCGAATGGAGCAAGGCCTCTTGGTGCCGGGGGAAGGAGAACCAGTTTTAGCGATAGGTTTAAAGAAATCGAGAACCAAGGGAGAGTGTTCTTTGACGATTCGGAGGAATTTACGGGGAGCAGCGCTAGTACTACGAGCGGGGAAGAGACGGAAGACAGGGAAATGAAAGAGAAGGTTGGTGGGGAGACTGATGACGAGGAAGATGGCGGTGGTGAAGAGGAAGAGGAGGCTGTAAGTGATGAGAGGTCAGGAACAGAGAAATTCCAGGCTGGTGTCATGGGAGGCGTGACAGGTGTTGCGCCCTAAACTCTTTTTATTTGGATCTATTTCCTTTATCTGGTAGGCTTTGCATAGTCCGGAGTTTTTCTGCTTCTGTCTTCTCATTTGTTCTAGTGCGTTTGCTTTAAGGTACCCAAGTTTGGCTAGGGAAGGTGTTATGTTGGAAATACCAATCATTTACAGTTAGAGTTTCTTTTGTATTCTATTTTATTTATTTGTTATGGGTTATTACTCATGCGTTTATTAAATGGTCGGAATTCTTAGTAGGGATTTGGTTGCAACGATATCCGACCATTTAATGAACGCTCGAGTATATTAGCCTTTAATATTGGGACGTGAAATAATCCTAGGGCATGATAATGGAACGGCATAGTTCATCACTCGTTACCTTCTCCAGAAACACTGATCCTAACCCCATCCACCGTGAACGTGTCCAACTCAAATCTCCTGTGAAATAAATCAGTTGGCTAATCAGATTGAACTCGGTTTTTTTAAGAAATGTAGAGTATGAATAAAAAATCCGATAAATTCATGAGTTTAGTGAAAATATAAATCCAGAATCTGGGCTAAACGCACAAGAAAAACTACAAAAAGGAAAATGCCTTTGATATAGCGAACAAAATTGACTGACCCCATTGATAATCACCACCCACATTTGCATCCTGCCCCGAATTTCCCACCAAGAGAAAAATTGTGAACCACGAAAACCCGCTAGTTAGAAAAAAAAAACATCTATTTGCAACCCCCCGAACCAACCACTGATGACCGAACCAATAAAATTTACGAAACCACTACACCACACCGATCCGAGTGACAAGAATTTATAAATGAAAAATAAAAAAAGGAGAGGAAAGGAAAGTATATACGCTTTATCGCCACTTAATCTCTTCTGAAGAGAGGAGATAAAAGTAGGATAAAGTATCCATAAATACAAAGCAAATATGAGGCCGCTGACAAGGGGGTTAAATTACAAATGTTTCCCTCCCACCTTCTAGGAAAGCATTATCATGGAGTTAGGGTCAAAAACGCTAACCAGAGGTTAGGGAACCAAAGAAGAGAATACCCAATCATACAATGTGAAAACTCAAGAAAAACGCCAACCAGTCGACAAGTGTTCATGAACAAAAGGGCAAAAAGAAATATATATAAAAAAAAAGCAGTAAACCCATGAGAAGAGTAGCACAAAACCTAAAATGCTGTGTCGAAATCCGGATAAAAAGCTCAACTAGAAACGCAAAGAATAATGGACCCGTCCGAAAGAGGAAAAAAAAAAATGTGCCATAAAGGAAAGGACCCTAAAACCCGGTAAAGAAATAAGACGGGAACAAAGCCTTGAAGCAGCAGAAAAGAAAAGAAAAGAAAAGAAAAGAAGAAAAAAACACCCTCCCATTCCCAGACAATCTAAACTTAAAAACAATGAAAACTTTTTCTCTTTTTTAACCCTAACCGTATGCTCCTATTCCCGAATGTGACCATGGCACTATGGCCAGCTGTTGTTTCCAGAGGTGATTCTGGCACAACATCAGAAGTCGTTTCGACAACGGCTGTTTCCTGTACAGTTCCTGCCTTCTGTTCCCATAACTGATCGGTGTTTTGACCGATATCATCTGTTTCTTCTCCATCTTCTTTCCGACCATGTAGTCAGGCATCACTACTGTGATCCTTTCTCCTGCTCCTCCAGCTCTTGACCTTCTTGAAAAAACTCGAGGGGCGGCGCGCAACCGTGTTCTCAATTACAACGTTTGTTGTAGCCCCACAGCACCCTTTTGTGCATGAGTGATCACTCGAATCTCCAAGGTCGGGTGGAGATGATCTGGGCCTGTCTATGACGGCTGATTCGGTTGGCTTTTGTGCCGACAGATGTTCGGATGAATGCTGATAGGTTGGCCTTTTTTCGCCTGAAGGCTTGAGGGCATTGCCGTTGGTCGATAAGGGTTGGTTTGGCTGCGTTACAACTACTTTGACTTTGGTCTGTTCAGCCGAGTCTGTTAACAAACACTGTTGTACTGATCTTTGCGAATCTACCCGGGTTGGCACGCGGCTGTGAACATGATGTTCAGATTCCATGAGAACAGGCCCTAGTACGGATTGCTGATGTGTCGTTGAGTTGTTCCTCAACTTATCCACGCCAGTGTTTCCATTCCTGTTGCCACCTTCGTCTGGGGAGCTTCCCACCCCGGTAGTGAGAAACTGCTTAGATGAGCCATTTCCACTCAGCCTGTTGTCCGAATTGGGGGCAAATGTTTCAATCTTCGCCGCCCATTTAGATTTATTTTCCTTCAACACATCTACGCTGAATTTCATTTCTGGTAGCACGTCCGACAATTGTTGAAATAATGGTACTGCAAACAAACTCATAAATCCCACCTGCGACTTTGCCAAAGCAAGCACTGATCCAGTAACGGGCGGGACAACGAGTGATGTAGGTATTTTGAGATCGGTTTCCATTGAGGCCTGTCTAGAAAATTCATCAATCAAGATGGTCGCCCATTGTGCAGAACATTCGTGAACGCGTGCCTTACACAGTCAGCAGTGCCACACAGAGGGTGAGTAAGACGATAAACCCACCACGTTGCTAATATCTGCACATTTGATTAGGAGGGCACATATTAAGGTCTTATGCTCAGAGATTGTTTTCTTGTCCCAAGACTCTGAACTACCATCTTTCTCGAACATTTTCCTCATCTTATCCAGCTTCCCCATGTATTCGAAGTGAAGACCCATGTCCGTTGCTAGGATCATGTCAATCATTGCCTTTCTCAACTCCAGACATTTTGGCCAATATTTTCTCAAAACTTGAGAGAAAGCTGCACAATGAAAGGACTCCAATACGGATTTGTCATTGTACACTTGCGCAAGTGGGGCCTTCAGGGTGACCAAAAACGCGTTATTGACGCCAGGATGACCTACATCATGGCCAATCGCAACTACAAGTAGAGTGAGAGCATCAAGAGGGGTGAGGGTGTTGCTCAAGGAATTTGGAGGCAAATAATCTCCGACACTAGGGTCATCAGGTGTGAACGAAGGCAGAGCCCTCAACTGTAGCAAGAAGTAGAAAACAGCCTGAAGAACGTCTACAACATGCCTAAAGTTATGGTAAGGAACCTTTGGATTGTACGAAGCTCGGCATGCGGTTAAGAAATCCATGATTCGTTCTAGAGATGTCATTATTTAGTGGGTGTATACTTAGCCCTCCCAGGAGAAATAACCTACCAGTAGGAAGTCGGAATTCGTGAACTTCTGGCATTTGCAGAGCGTGTTCGAACATTAGTAGGGCCGAGCAAACGAGTTCCTCGTCGCTGAAGTCGTGTGCAGAAAAGTTCCAACTACTAATTGCTTGCTTGATCTCTTCAATCCGAGTGGGTAATATTTTCGGTTGACTAAGCAAGGTGAGCCAGCGGCCATGGACCAGATTATTGTTGAAGGACATACTTTCCACGGTGAATAAACACCGTTTTCTTTGGTTTGCAGATATCCATCATTAACTCCGATACCCTATATAATGATCAGCGAATATATTCCCTATCAAGGTCTAACAAGTTTGACAAACATTTTCTCCCTTAAATAAGCATATTCGCTTGTTTCCCGTGCAGATTTTTGCTCATCTGAGCGTTCATCCACACCAACCCATGAAACCTTTCTCGATCTTTGAATGTTTCTCCTGGCACGATGGCAATGCATATATAAAGTCTTTGCCCTATCCTTGGGAAGAGGACTCGTTAAAACATCAACAGCTCCAAAGTCAATGCATTCCAACTCCCGTCCTTGGAAGATTGGTTCTTTTCCGTTGTTCCAATATTTCTGTCCATTGTTTTGTCCTGCGCTGCCAGCCGAAGATTCGGGATTGGTCAAAAACACAATAGGCACAACCAACCCCGACATGCGCTTATTCTCCATCTCGACACAGATAAATTTGAGAAGTGGAAGACCATAAAGCTTGTCACCAGGGCCAGCATCCACCCCAGAGTCGTGTCTTCCTTCGTAACTATCAGTTTCTTCGCCAGCAGGTTGAGAGTCCCAGGGAATATCCAGCAAGACCAAAGTGGGCGATGGATCGTTCTTATCCACCTCAGAAAGTAATGATATGCATGAAGGACCAGATACACAGATAGAAACTATTTTAAGAAAATCCGGTTAACAAAACTGGCATAGTGATAGATATCAAGTAAATTGAATAGGAAGAAACATACCGGAGTTGAAGACTGAGAGTAGGCATTGCAAGTTCTGGATCACTTCCTCGTGTTCATCTTGAATTCCATCACTTCCGTCGTAAGACTCAGGCCCAGAGGAGATTGGTGATGGCAGAGAATCTTCTCGGGGTTGTATTCTATCCTGTCGGGCCCGACGATCAACATAGACAACGTTATATTCAGTTGGATACGACACCATGGCGGACGATGCGACAGTAAGGAATGGCCGCCGGCGCAGTTAGAGACTGGAACTAAAGTCTGACTGGCCACTTCTCGTTCCTGTATACAAGCCTCGGAGCACGCAATAATCACAATGCGTGGTTACAACAATGGGCAAGTGTCAAGGCGGTAAGAAAGGAACGGATGCCGCACACAGCGAGCGGCAGAAAGGGAATAGGATCTATGATGGAGCGACCGCAGTAATATATTCGCTCAAGGGAACAGGGAATAGATGATGGCAGGAGAGGGTGGATGAGAGCAGTAGGATGGGAAGCAACAGGATGAAGTTGAGGCAGGAAGGGGGAGGATAGGAAAGGGATCTGATGCAGCGAGGAGAGAGCTGGCTGGCTGACTGGTCGTCAATTGGAGACACCACCAGAGACAAGAGCAGAAGCGAGACGTTCGTGGGTTGTGGGCCCAAGGTCAATGCGCAACAACAGATAGACAGACGAGGGAGAGACGGGAGACTCGAGAGATCGAAAAGTCGAACGGCGGGGGGACCAGGGAGCAGGGAGAGGAGAACCAGGAGCCAGGAACTAAGAGGTATTATTAGTAGACTCTAGTAGTGGGAGGCAGCAAAGGCAGTAACAAGCAACAACCGCGAGACTCGAGACTCGG